TGAATGTCGTGCGCATCGTACACCTTCAATGTGGCTTTCCCAACCCTCTGCAAGAACTGCTCTTTAAATTTCAAAAGGACCTTCTCATACGAGGCATTAAGCTGCTACACGGCGATTTTGGTCACCAAAAGCTTCCAATTACACAGGATATTTTACATAAACTCCATGGAAATCTTGACCTCACTAACTCCATGAATGCGACATTTTGGGCTGCTGAAAAAGTATTACTTTAATGTTTATGAGTTCCTCTAGGAGTAAATTCACGCTTTTGTAGCAAGACTCGACAACAGATGTTTCTGTTGGTTTCCGTCCGCCATGTTGGAGCTCATCCGGATGAGCTCCAGCATGGCGTCTCCATACAAAGCTCAATAAATTTGGGTAAAACATTTCCTCGGGTATCTCGTATACGAGTTATTCCTTCGACCCAAATCTTGTCGAGGGTCTTTGTATATTTACCTCTTTTCATTTCCCAGATTCTAGACTTTATCTGTGGAATGGTGTTGAATTTTTTTTTTATCTATTTTGGATGGCGTGACACTGAAAACCAGCAATACTTACCAAGTCAAACCATTAACCTATAACGCCGTTTATAATAAAATCAAACAGTTGTTAGAACAATGCGGGACACTTTTTTCGACGCGGAGGCGCCACCTTTGCGATGAACTGTATTTTTGTGGTGTGCTCTGTCACTACATTAAGCTTCAAGAGGATTTCAAATGCCTATGAACGCTATCTTGACCCCTTACTGTAGTATAAAATGATGGCTGTTAACATGATGAGCAAGTCTATTACTCACTGACTTTTCACACCAACTCTTTGGGGGTTTCTTGGGGAGCATCGCGTTTGGTCTTAGGCAATAAAGACCCAGTTGACCCCAACTGAGCTGGTGTGTGTTTATATTATTATTATCAGCATCATCATCATTATTGTTATTACTTAGAATTATTTTTATTTTCACTATATATCATTTGCAGATTGTTTGAACAGTTTGCCTGCCCCAAACATGGAAATTTCTTCTATGGAACCATATGTAATGATAAAATGCAATCGAACGTCACCCTTTTCAAGAAGACGAGTTATCACACGTACTTTAATTAAGGCAAAGAACTAAGTAATACTTTGGGTAAAGAATAGCCTAAAGCCAATGCAAACTTATAGAAAGCTATTCCAGATTCTCTAAGGACAAATTCAAACTTTAAAATTTTTAAAAACAACGTAACAGACAATGACCTTATTATATAAATGTTGTACATACGTAAATGTACAGGCTTATATGTTGCTAATATAGATTATTAATAATAAATTTTCTTATTTTATAATTGTATTTTGTTCACTTTTTAGCTGGTTTGTTATCGTCGCAGCTTTTCAAAGGTGTCAGCGATAACAATCACTTTTATAGCTAAGCGTATAACACAATAAACAGTATTAGAAAAGTTTTTTTGCCATTTTTATAGCTAAATTTTGAAAGTGTGAAACTTGAATTGATAACTTCTTATGTGCGACAGATTACGGCAAACTATTTTTAGCATCATTGTATGTATGTATCTGTATCGTAACTGAGTGTGTTTGAGCGCGATCTTAATGCCAGGCGCTTTCTTCTTTGGCAAGTTGGTGGTGATGCCCGGCTTTGCTCGTGAAATCTCGCTCCTCTGAGTCCGACATTTGGAGTGAGTTTAGGAAAAAGAACAGGAGCTCCATATCTTCCGGCGTAATCTTAACTGTTAAAGGAAAGGCTTGGCTAAATAATTCCGGAAGTTTTTGGGAATTTAAGACATCATCATTATCATTATTTAATATTCACTTTCATTCAGTTTTTTGTAAACAGAGTACTGGGGTACCAGCTCCAATACAAACTGACTTACAAGATCCAAGTTTTGAGGTAGTTACCAACCATGTGACATGTGACACTAAGGAAGTTCAAAAGCTACTTAGCTGTCTGTCTTAATGCTAATAAGTCTTGTGGAGTTGATAAAATACGTGCTCGTTTACTTAAAGAGACTGCTGACACATCTGCAGTTCCTCTGAGTATGCTCTTCAATTTATCGTTGAAACAGGGACGCCTTCTTGAATTATGGAAATCAGCTAATATTACACCCATTCATAAGGATGGTGATCGAGAGCCAGAAGAAAATTATAGAGGCATTTTACTCTTAACTATCTCTGGGAAATGCCAGGAGAGAATTGTGTACAATGCTATTTATGATCAAGTTATTGGATTCATGCATGATTCTCATCACGGGTTCCTCACTGGTCGTTCCTGCACTACTCAACTACTCTTAGTACATCATGATTGGTTCAAAGTCTTGGACAAGAGAGGTCAAGTTGATGTAGTATTTATAGACTTTTCAAAGGCTTTTGACCTTGTCTGTCATAATATTCTATTAACCAAACTTTACAAATATGGTGTCCATGGAGACTTGCTAAATTGGTGTAGAGATTATTTAACAGAACGTCAACAGCGTGTTGTAGTGAAAGGAGAGGCTTCCGACTGGTTAACCGTAACCTCTGGTGTCCCACAAGGTTATTTGTTGGGACCATTATTCTTCATAGTCTACATCAACGATTTACCGGGGGTAATTAGTAAGGACAGTTCAATTGCTCTGTATGCTGATGACAGTAAAATGTATAGAGGGATTAGTACTCAAGAAGATCTGTCTACTTTTCAAAGTGACATAGACAAAATTTCAGATTTGTGTAAGATGAATAAGATGAGAATTAATACCAAGAAATGTAAGATTATGCGAATAACCAGGAAAAAGTCACCATTAGTTGGAGAGTGTAATATTGAAGGTCAACCTTTGGAAAGTGTTGATGTGTATAAAGATTTAGGATTATTTACTACTAGTAATCTTTCGTGGAACCAACACGTAGATAAAATAACTGCTAAGGCTAATAGGGTTTTAGGGTTGGTTAAGAGGACTTGTAGGGACTTAAAGGATATTGATACCATGAACACACTTTATTGTAGTCTTGTGAGACCTTTATTAGAATATTCATGCGAAACTTGGGACCCTCATACTAAACGTAACATTGATAAACTGGAGGCTGTTCAGCGAAGAGCTACCAGATGGATCACTAGGTCTGATGATGATTATGATACTAGACTTTCTAAGCTAAAATTGTTGTCATTATCTGATAGGAGGTTCACTATAGATGTTACCTTTTTTTAAATGTAATTAATGGACATTATGATATTGACATTTCAAATAAGCTCATATTTTGTAAGGACAGAAATACAGGTTATAACGTGAGGAAAAATGACATACAGGATCTTGTTCCAAATTTTAGTAGAACTGATGGTTTTAAATATAGTTTTTTTTAACCGCGTTGTAGATGAATGGAATGGTTTACCCAATCGTATTAGAGAATCAAACAGTATTGCAACTTTTAAAAGAAATGTGTTAAGCTTTATTAAGGATAACTAGAACATTTGTATTTCTATTTGTATATATTTTTCTTATATGTCAATTAGTGGGGGCGTCCCTAGTATGGTGCATTGGTGCTTTTGGTTGTCTCCTTCTCCACATATTTTTTTTGTTTGTTTGTTTGTTAAAGTAGTGTTAGCTTATTTAATTTCATTATTTGCTTGTTATGCAGTGGAGTGAATCTGTAATAAATAAATAAATCAAAGAAAAATTTTAGAGAATCTCGGGAATTTTAGAAAAAGATTGACAAATTCGAGAATTTTAGAGCAATTGGAACATTCACTCGACATTTTGGCAACATTTCAAAGGCAAAAAGTTGACAAAAAGTTTTTTTTGCACTCCTACCGACCAAGAGAGGGCTCGTTCCGCTCACATGATACATTAGTGTCTAGAGCTCTGTCCACTGAGCACAACAACTCAGCGGTTTTTCATCAGTCATCTACACTACAACTTATCAGCGATTATTAACTAAAAGGGTCCCTCGCTATAATTTATAGAATTTTAGAGCTTTTTTCGGGGAAATTCCGGAAATAATTTTAAGCCACTATTCGGGAATTATGTAGCTAAGCCTAAAAGGTTTAGCTACACAGCCTAATATGGTTTCAAAATATTGTCACGCGAACAATTAATAAGACGGTTCGTCATGAGAACTGAGACGCTGGAAAAATATCATTGCCCGTTGGTTTGATAAACTGTCTTTTGTGACGTTTTCAGTCGAAATTAACGTTATACATTCTGTTTTATCTCTCTCTCATCACATCGATTTGCTTCGACTCTATTTTACAAAGGGGCACCAAATGACTGAGAGTGTTTCCAAGTCAGTACATCAGAAGTGTCGCAAATGGTTTTTGCAAGGCCTCTAGAGGCCTGTTTACGTTAGTTAGAGCTGCTCTAATAATTATATACCTGTCCGGATCTGTTAGGGGAATTTTGGTCTTCTCGATAGTTTGGGGAAATTTTTCGTCTTATCCAAAACTGTTAGCCGCTACCCTGACGGGTTTCTTCCAAAGTTCGAGGACATCAAGTGGCCGCACTTTCACCAAACCGAACCAAAACTTAGGTAGAAAGCAAAATTTCTCTTTTGGGGGTTTAAAAGTGAAACAGTAGACTTGACTTTTACCTTTCGTTTTCGCGCTCCCCCACCCTTTTCTTCGCTTTTCTCGCCCAAAAAGGAAACCGCTAAAGCTTTCTTTAAATGTTATTGACTTATTTGATTATTTAGTTATTACTTTAGGAGAAATTAACTTTGGAATGCGAAGTTTGGGTTAGAGAGAGCTCGAGTATTCAAAAGTCGACTGCGCAACAGTTTTTTTTTTAAATCAAACCCGTAACATCACTCATGCGATTGCTTCATTGTCGACTTTAATATATTGTTTCTGACAATGCAATGACCACATTTTTCGCATGGACCACCAGGGTTCTTTAATGTATTTCTACCGTAAGGATAAATCATTTGTGTTATATTCTTTGCTAATACCTTGCTAATTTTCTTCTCGATTGATATCGTTTTAGACGGGACAATTGGTGAACAAAACCGCTGTGGTTTCAATTCTGATGGGATAAGCTGAAATCAGAATGTCGCAGCATTTTTCTCCCGAACAACTGAACTTCTTCAAGTTTTCAGCCATTGTGTTGATTGAGTTCCCGAAAGCGTTACGGCAAGTGTTCGAGGCAAATCGGGACAGTCGGCGGTACGGTATTCCAAAGTGGGAAGACTCACCAAGGGTTAGGAACATGTTTCAAGATACCGAAGGTGGAAATATGACGCACGTGCCTACTGACAAGTCGTACATGGAATGGGATTCCACTTCTCTGTTTCAGGCCACTCTCTATGCGCGAAGCTTTGCCCAATCAGGAGAGAGAAAAAGAGAAAAAAATTTGTACGATTTGTACGTAGAACCGCGGCATTTAAAAGGCGGGGCATTTCATCACTCTGTTTGGACCCAGACTGGAAACAATGAAGAAACTTTAGCTTTGGCGTTAGATCAGCTTCGCTTGTTACGAAACGCACTTTTTCATCAAACAAATACTCAAAGAATTGACAGTTCCACGTTTAACAGTTACTTGGTTTTAGCAAAGAATGCCTTTGGCGCACTTCGTATTTCCTTTGAAAGCATTGAGAACCGGAAGGAAGCTGTCCAAGATTTTCATGCATCAAATGTCAAAAGGCTCTTGGACTGGTTGCATAAAGAGAAAAATGCTGCCATCAAGTCAAAGCAGTTTGAAAACCACCTTAGCGAAATTAAAGCACCTTGCAATACCAAAGTAACGGATCATGGAGGGCCAAAATTAAAGAAAAATTGCGGATTCACCGGCTCAGAAGCTAACACAAAGGTTGTTAAGCAAGCACAAAAGTTTCAAGGTGAGGTTATTATTTTTTTTCCTCTCGAATGTTCCGAAAAATGCCGAGAGGTACGGTGAACGAGGTCAGTATTGTCAAAGCCAAAGTCAAGTATACGATTGTTAAAGCATTCCGGACCAACAACAAGCAAATAAATTATACGTTTATTATAATGAGAGTGGTAACGCAGATATGCTTCAAATTATTACAGCGTAATGCGTGACCCATTTGGCCAACCCCTACAGATCAGGTGTATCAAATCTTTAAAAATACATCACAGGTAAAAAACAACTCATCATTTCTTCTTAAGAGAAGTAAAGAAAACTTAGATTTTAAACAAAAAGTTTGGAAGCAGATGTTTTCTATTCTTGCTTCAATTTTCATTAGTTACGGGGTATAGAAAACAAAAAAGCAGGAAAAAAAAAAAAAAAACGCCTCGTAATATGGAGACTACTCGGGAGCACTGATTTCTGCATTTCATTTAATTAAACATGGTTTACATATGTCGGGCAAATCCCAGGCGATCGGGTACTTAGTGCTCCCGTACGTCCCAGATTTCATCGATATTTCAGGCAAATGTCAGGGTCTATCCCAGGCGCCATTTTGATGAAGAAGGGAAGGACTGGAGTAGGCGTTTGGAGAATTGGGATCTAGCAAAACCGACTGCCCATCGCTCCACCACATCCGCGACATCCTGACAGTGCAAATTTGAGTTTTCACATTTCGGTTTACATAGGATCGTCGAAATTCGAGAAAATCTAGAAGAGAGAAAGAAACGCGCCCGATTCTCCTGATTTGTCCTCGACCACCCTACACAAGAGGAGATGTCTATGTTTTCTAGTTTCATCACCACAAGAAAGAAATAACTAGCGACACTTGAGCTTGTTATCCTTTCTGTGAAAAATTTGTCGCCGTTATGTCGTTCAAAGCTATACATAATATATTATGTCTTCTTTTCACACTTTAGACCTGGAGCAGACGGCAGAAAACAGCCCCCGATGCTCTTTTCAGGAAGCACATCCAAGCTCTGGTTACATTTATGATCGAATCAATGATGAGTTTCTTAAAACTCGTGGAATATTAGGCAGTCGTAACGTGTGTGACATTATGGTGGGAAAACTCGACAAAGCTTTAAATTTACGCCAAAGCGAGTACATATCAGAAGCACGAAATGAAGTGCACGAGCTTTTTGACCTAATTAAAAGAGAAGACGCTAGAGATTTTAGGAAACCAACTCAATATTGCCTGGAAGTAGTAAGCCGTGGGAGCGCCTTTTTTTTCGATAACAGCGTAAGCCTTTCTCTGAAACACGGGCTTTTAGTACTTGATTCAAGTAATGGTGGCGCCCTCTTCTACGCCAGCTTGCTCAATGTTTTAGGAGTGCTTGCTTTGGAGACTTCAGAATTCCATATTTCTAAGAAAATATTCTCCATCTTGGTTGCCTTTCATAGTACATCAGACGCTACTAGCCGGTTGAGGGACATGGCAGCAGCTTTTAATAACAGAGGCTGTCTCTCACTTATAGTAGGAGAGTTAAACCACGCGAAAAGTGATTTTGACGACTCAGTTAGGCATCTGAATTGGGAAAAGCATAAGCGACAATCTTTCTCATCGACCGAAGCCATGATTATTGGAGTACATAATAATGTTTGCTGTTTAAATTTCATGTCTCGGAATTTCGCCAAGTGTCTCGAAAAGCAGAACGAGCTTTTAGATCTCTGCAAAAGAAAGGCCCCAGAATTACCTATGCAAACTGTCTTTATGGTCTTGCATAACCATGCAAAGACAAACACTGCCCTTGGCAATATGGCTAGAGCAGAAATTGAGTTGAAGTGGTTGAATTCTTACTGTAAGACTTTGCCAAAAAGAGAACCTCACAATCTTCTATTGGACGTCGTTTCCTTGCAGCTTTGCGAAGTATTGCTTCTCAGTGGAAAACCGAAAGAGGCAAATTATGTATATCCTTCTGAACGACTAACATCGAAATGTGTACTGGAATTGATGCCCCGCTTCGGCGGAATTTACTTTGATCTAATGATCGAGACCTTTGAAAAGAGAATTGACGTCCTTGTTGGGTTTGGAAAACGGAAGAATGCTCTTGAATGTTTGCAGAAGCAGATCATTCTTGTCAAAGAACATTTTGGGGTTAAGCATTTCTTTGTGAGCTCCTTGTTATACAAGGAGGGTTGTACTTTAAAACTAGAAGGGAAGTTCTCCGATGCATGGGAAAAATTCAAATGTTCATCAGAAATTCTAAGAGACCTTTTCGGCGAGAAGCATCCCCTTCTTATCAAGTGCTACATGTCTCTCGGTGCCGTTTCGTTGCGATTGGGACGTGAGAGTGAATCCCATCTTTCTTTCCAGCGAGCTATGGAGAGCGTGGAAGTTATTCACCAAGTTTCATTTCCGAACCAATTGTCGATCAGGTATATTGAAATGACAAGTAACGCTAAACGAAAACCCTTTGGCATGTTTCAAAAGAGAGATGTAGAAGAGCAACTGATTGACGGACTGGTTGCGGAGCATGGGTTAGCGTTGGCGGTGCTTTCGTCGCGGCTGAATCCCAAGAAAAAGCAGAGTTTATCAGAGACGACAAAAAAGAAAGAGAAGCCGCTGCCGAGAAAAACTGCAAAAGCTACACAGTCAGAAATCGTTTTGATTGTTTCTCAAAAAAATGCCCGTGATCTCTTGCTGAGTGGCCAAACCTTCCTTCGTCTGGGAATGAAAAATGAAGCCGGTGCCTTTTTCCAACTAGCTGGCGAACTTTGCCAGACAAATCATCTAGTACAAGGGCAATCCTTGCCACCCCTAGTAAGCCTATTTAACTTAATCAGTCAGACAAACTTCGCCAATCAAAACAAAGTGAAAGAGAACTCCGACCTGATCAGATTTCTTGAAGAACTGAAGCAAGACGCAGTAAACAGTGCTAACGAGTATGATGCTGAGAGTGAAACAGAAGCCAAGGAGAAGTTGCATTTGGACAGTCAAATGGATTTGAAACTGGTTCTTTTATTGCTAATCCTCTTCTCTGTACAACTGCAGTTGCACGATGCCATTTTTGCCGCGTATGATCTTTACGCATCTCTTTTTCCGAACGATGGTTGGTTCTTCCTGAGTGCTAACGATGAGCTGCAGGTTTACTCATCGAGGACGTCAGTAACCTTTAACGGGAAAACTGCGGTGCAACATGCTCTGTTCTCCACTGCAATTGGTGACAGCGGAAGTAAATTGAAGAGCTCCATTCCTAGAAATTCTGTGTTTCGAAACATAGTCTATAGGAAAGGTATGCCGACGTACAGCTTATTGGCCATTCAAAGCTCAGATGCAATTCCAGACGTCGATGACATAAAGCAAGTAGAGCAGGCGACATTGCGTTCCTTCCAAGAGTACCTTGAAATCAAATGCCTTGACGAGAAAGACGAAGCTACTCAGTTCATTGTTGATCTTTCTGTGATTTCAGAGAAAGAATCGTTTTTGACAGAGCGTCGTGTTGAGCTCCTGCCTCTCTGCTTGTCTGAAGAAAAAGAAGAAGCTGAAAGACCTAACGGAAGGAGCAACGTGCATTCCATCGTCCCATTTCTGTGCGAGAAGACAGCTTGGCTTACATTTGCGGATGAGCCGACCAGTTGTTTCATGTTCGGTAAAATTGCTCTATGGCTTCTACAGGAATGTAAATGGCAAAAGATGTCCTCATTGAGAGTGCAAAACCAGTGCCTTGTCCTAACAGTGGTCCTTCCAGTTAAAGCCAAAATAACACTTTGGTATGGAAATAATTTCATCAAACAAAGGGTTCAGATCATATTCATCGATGACGGAGAACAGCAGTTAGGTGGAACTGGACAGAAAGGCTCATTTTTCAACTCAGAAGTGTATGACAGCGTGTTTGAGGAATTTTTCACACCAGTCATCATTCATCACTGGACCAGCACCCGTAATGGAGTACGCGAGGGGACCGCGATTACTCGAGAATGCTCCTGGGCTGCTGCGCCTACAGCTGCCCTCCATGAATCCAATGAACAAGCATCTTTTCAAAGATCCTCTGAAGAAGTAAGTAAACGGATCTCGATTTCACTGCCACGTTGTTGCTGAGTTTCATATGAAAGTAATATATATTACATAAAATTTAAATAATGTACGACCTAAGTTACGATTTTGTACAGAACTTACAAAGAAATTTTTAGCCGTTACTAGGAAGAATAAAATTGAACTTGATCATTTCAACGTTGCGTTTATTATCTGATTCAATATCCCGTTCTTCAGTTAAGGAATTGAAAATTCAAAACAATATTTGATTAAGTATTGACTTCTGATTGGATTGATGAGGCGTCGATTTTCGAAGTGCTCGACGGGAAAAGGGATCAGTTGAGAAGACTTTATGAACCAGGAAAATTGGAGCTTTTCTTGTACTAGTACGTTAGATTATTTTTTTCATCCAAAACGAGCGGAGATGGAAGGTTAACTCGCGTTCTCTGAATTATGACTATTTTTTATAACCTTAACTGGAAACACTTTGGTGACGTGAATGATAGTTCGTATTAGAGGCCTAAGGGAACAAGGGTGGCATAGTGGTGCGAACACTCGCCTCCCATCAATGTAGCCCGGGTTCAAATCCCGGCGTCGACGCCATATCTGGGTTGAGAGTATTCTGGTTTTCCTCTCTCCTCAAACTGCTAGACTTCTAAATTCCAATTCCATCTGCAACGCACGGATACGTCTAAACCAGCTCTTAAGAACTCCTAAGGGCTTTGTGGGTAAACATACAGGGGATATGGATGACCTTCCCCAAATTTGTCGCCCTGCCTTATCATTCAGTGTTATCTGATCGATTGTCGTGAAAGCAGGTCAGCAAAGCGGTTATTAATAAGTGACCTGCCAAACTCCACTAAGACATAAACTTAAATGAAGTGATGTGCAACACACAATGGGGAAATTAACTGTGACCTTATATTTAAACAATGTAGTTTGATTATTGTAGGAGAAAATTTGGTAACAGTTTCTCTAGAAATATCTCCAAATTAATTTGAGGAATGTTTGTCTGACCTGTAGGAGAGAAGTGCGAGAAAATTTCTGAATGCTATTACCCTTGAGTATTTAACAGCGGTCAGTGAATTAACTTACCTTCTTCATGGCGACCAACACCCTGCAGTACCAGACGTACATCCTGAAGATGTATTCCAAGGCGTCCAAAAAAATGAGGTGGTTCCAAAGGTTACCGAAACTGATCCTTCTTTCAGTTTTCTGGACTCAGACGTATCTTCCCTTAAATTTCACGAAGACGTGACTCCCGATTCCCCTGCCTCCGCCAGCATTTTTAGTTATTGCCACAAAACAGCCTCCATTTCTGAAGGTAACACAGAAGAGATAAACGACTTGCCGTTTACACCTTCTGGGTCAGCGAATGCGGAAGGAAGTAATTTTGTGGTCGTCACCGATAAAGGTAGACCGTTCGGGAGGGAGCTGTTCGAAAAAGACAGGAAATCTAGACACTTCTCCATTGCTAAGCTACGAGAAGAAATGAAGAAAAAGGAAATACCTCCAAATCGTTGCCCCTCGGTAAAAAGTGAATCCCCTACAAAAGAAGAGTGTATAGAAGAAGTGTCTTCTGTGGAAGAATCATCTCATCAGAAATTTCATTGTGGACGTCTAAGATCAGGATCTTTCGATTACTCTGAACACGAAGGAGAGGTAGATGGAAACAAAAATTTCGAAGGTAATGAGAGTTTTTCGGAAAGTTGTGGAAATTCTCTGGCCTTTTACAAGAAACACGCCCCTGGTATTCTGCAGACAAGTGAAGAAATGAAAGAACAGAGAGACTGGGTATTTCCCAGTTCTTCTGAACTCCGGAACGGCTCGGTTTGTCAGTCAGCGGTTGATGAAAAGGAAAAACAAAATGCAAGCACAAGTAAGACTATGGACGGCCCCTTGCTGCGGGAAAAGAAACGTGATCATTTTTCCGTAACGGAAGAAAACGAAGCTGATATCAAGGAGGTTTGTGACCAACAAAGGGAACAGCCCATGGGTTTTGAAGAAGCCACGTGCACCCAAAAAAGAGGCATGGATATCAGAGACCCCAAAATCGGCTGGGTTGAAATAAATCATACCGAACACAACAATGACGTAATGCAACTAAAAAAGGGAAATGACCTCCATAGCGGAATTTTCATAAGCCGTGACCCCCAGAATCAAAAGAAAACGAGCTTGCTTGGCAGTGAAACCAATTCTGAATCTTCCAAAATCTTAGAGATTGGTGAGTGTTTTATAGAGAGAGCAGAGAAGGCGGTTCACAGCACCTCACCAGATTTTGAGAGGTCCAATCTAGAACTCACCTATTCTAGGAGAAAACAAAGCCATGATAAACTTGACGTACCAGGCCAAATTGGTAGAAAACTACAACTGGGTGAACAAGGCCATCAAAGCGGTGCTAGTGCAATTCACAGCAAAACCCACATGGAAACGACACCACGATCTCCATTTTTGGGGGGCGATGTCGTCGCAGATGGTTGTGCTTTAGACGGCTTTCCAGATTCCACTACCTTTGTTGGTCGACCCACCCTATTGCATTCAGAAGTCCAACATGGAGCTATGGGAGCCAGTATCAGTTCTCGGTTTCTCGGTGACGATATTGTGGCAGGCGCGTACGGCTATTTAACAGATGCCTCGCCACAAACATCTCAAGATATCGTCGACGGTCCCGCCATGACGACCGAAAAGCTCCATTCAGGTGATCACACGATTAAAGAAAGGGAACTTCGAAAAACTTGTTATAATGAAGTAGGCGGCGGTGATAGTGATACAAAGAAAATAAGGAAGCTCAAGATTCAAAATTCTGATCCGGTGACCTTAGACAGACGAGAGGTGACCGCTACTACCGCCAACACTCCTGCAAACAATTATCATTCACCAGACCATGGTGGCGCAAGACCTAAACAAGGATTGCCTAAAGCAGCAAGATGCTCCAGTGTCGTTGCCAAGTCCGCCCAGCTACTTTCCAGCCAACAGTCTGAGGAAATTACTCTCGGACTAAATGCCAACTTTGTGGCGCGCCATGCTGTTACTAACGATACCTTCCACAACCCTAATTTAGATGGAGGAGAATGGAAAGACCCTTTAGATCACTGTAGTGATGAGCATCTCTATTCAACTAAAGTTGCTAGTGATTTAAGCAGTAAAAAGAGTTTTATCTTGCATGGGCAAGACGCATTACAGAATAGTCATAAATCGTCAAGCATAAATCTACCCCTACTTGAAACTGACGCTTTTGAAGGTGGCGGTAACATCCAAAGAAGTTTTCATTCTGTGGCTAGGAGTCAGTCCTCTCTCCTAAAGGAAGATAAAAGCTGGCATTTTCCAGCCCCACAACTAACCACTGAAAACCACATCCAAGCACGTAATTACCAAGAAAAAGGCGGCTGTGTTCACTTTACGCAAGATCATGGACCAACGTTTGACAGCCCAATGCCAAATGCTAGCAACGGCATAGCCGGTACCACGACTAAGTTCATAAAAAGTACTGACAGTTATGGGGAATCCTCCTTGCATTCGGCCAACAACAGCGAAGCGGGTTCGGTTACTGAGAACGAAGGCCAGCGGGATTTATATGAAGATAACATTGAAACTCGTCTACAGGATCTAGAAAAGGTCATGTCAAGAACTGTGGGCCTCTTCACCTCTATTCATACTGCCGAAAAGCAAGTTAAAACGGAACAACAACATACGGAGAAGGTAGGTATTCAAGAACAAGCGATGAGCGAAGAGGACAATGGCCTAACCGAAACTGGTGGAAGAATATATTCTGGAGAACAAACAGCTCCTCTTCCGAGAAATGAACGAGCCACAGACACTGAGAGAGAAGATCGTACTTCACCAGTTCAAGAAAGCCCACGTCCCGCATGCAGTCATTATCAGCGGCGATGCCTTGTCCGTTTTCCATGCTGCGGCAGATTCTATCCCTGTCACAGATGTCACAATGAGTCGGCTGCATGCACTGATGACCAAGCAAGAGCCATAAATGCTACACATATCAGATGCATTATCTGTTACCACGAACAAGTGGTAAGATGATGACACATCCATCTATTAGCTTATTACTTAAAAGTTTCTTAAAATGAAATCATTTATATCACACATGCAGGCGTCAAGCGTCATCAAGTTATAGATGTAATGGGTTAATTAGAGTGTATTTTTTGACCTCAGCATTTGCAGTCGTTTGAATTTTTAGAATTAGAAAGATAGACCACAACAGAAATCTCTTGGAAAATGTTAGATATCCCTTAAACGTGCATTTCCCTTAGATCTCCTTTTTTAAAATATATTTTGCAAGGTAGAAAGCCTCTAAGAATGTAGATCTTCTCGTTCCACTTAAGGTCTTTCTTTTGTTTATCTTATTATATCATATTTTATTTTAAAAGTTTGATTACTTTTTCTGTATAGCAGTGTATCTAATGCCATTTATGACCCTAAAAATTTTCCCCATACATTTTTTTAAACCATAGATTGACGAAGGAAGTCAAAATTGTCGCGGATGTCACTCGAAATTTGCGGATTATTTCTGCGCCATATGTAAGCATTTCACCTCGCTCGACAAGAATCCATTTCATTGTGACAAGTGCGGTATCTGTAGGTACGTGCTAAATTCTCGTCTTAGGTACGAACGAAATATACTTTTTTAACATAGGTGTGTTGCGTTCTTTTCATATCTCTTCAAATATGAGCAGCCCACGATTAAGTAGTGTATAACACTTCAACGATGGGTACATCCGTATTCACTGCAATGCATTTATTTAACCAACTAGTTATTTAAAAACGTGAAAACGAGATAAGCTAATGGCCCGCTAACCTTCGGCAGATAGACGGTCCATAAAACTGCACCCTTGTATCGAAACGTCTTCTAAGGGCCTCGGTGATTGTTCTTGGAATAAAAATATGTAGCTGCGTACCCCATAGATTATATTCGCGAACTACATCTATGTTGAAAAATATACATTCAGACTGATATTCAGGTAATTGCTTGTTCACTATTTTGAACATAAATGCTTTCATTTGCTCACCTCGTCTATCGACAAGGCTTGCCAAATTGTGATCAGGGAGAATCTGACCAGATCTGACCCAACAATGAGAACCAGATATTATACGTACCGCCCTATTTTGCAATTTTTCAACTTTTTGACAAAGACCAACACTAATAGGACTACAGCACTACAATAATCAAAATAAGACAAAATGAACGGCTTGTAAATTGTTATAAGAGTCCTTTGGGTGCATATTGGCTTCACTCTTTTTAGGGCTCCAAGAACTTTTGCAACTTCTAGACTAATATTGCAAAAAAATGAGAACTCCAAAACAAAGTCTCATCCACTTGGACGCCGAGACATTTGTAAAAATCACCTTTTTCCGTTGAGTGCCCGTCAAGATGAATGTCAGGATCACTAGGCAGAAGAGATACTTTATGCTGTTTCCCCCTAAGCATACATACAGTCTTGACAGCATTGACACTAACGATTTGATTTCAATGGAGCCATAGTCTTACATTGTGAAAGCCATGAGTGAGGGAAGAAAACGATTCTTCGTGGTCTCTAGACGAGACAGTGAGATTTGTATCATCTTATCACATCTGATAAGTTGCAAATTAGGCGATTCATAGGAACCCCGCAAAGTGTATGACATGCTTCAGAAGTTTCATGACCTATTAGAGTAACCTGTGATCAGTAAGATAAATAGTTCCTAAAAAGGTTTGGGCTAGCATCCCTGAATACTAGCTCTTAGTTGGGTGATAGGATCTCATGATCAATAGTATCACAAGTCTTTTTTACATCGATAAAAAGAATTGCAATTGTTAAGCCATTGTCGATGATATTGCGATACCAATTGCAGGCTATAAGAGCTGTAAAGGTAGAGTGTAAAATATTAAAATTTAGATGATAACTTTCTATCGTCTAAATACTTGTACATCTAATTGGAGATGGCTTTAAAAGATTTTAGCAATTGCTGAAAGAACGGAGATAAACCTGTAAGTAGCTGGGTCCACCTTCGAGTCAGCTTTGAAGATTCGTGTTACTTTATGGCCATTTTCCAATTCCTCGGGATAATCCCAGTGCAATGACTAAATTGAAGACATGGGTGAAAAGAGCAGCCGAAAAAGACACGAATGCCTTAAAAAGGCAGGCTAAGGATTCCATGGAGGCAATCCGGTTTGCCAGCTGATAGATTCCTAATGAATTTGCACACCGCTTTTGCAGTTTGAAGACCGCCTGGGTCTCTTTTTGTTCTTGACAAGAATAAATAAGTTCCATTCCAGGTAACCTTTACGATGCACACATTTTCAATGAAAAAGGATTGGTAGTAAGCCTTTTTGGAGGCGATTATGGAATGGTTGACTTCATTCCTAAGTCTCTTATACTCCGCCCACTTGGTTTGATCGCTAGTGGCAATTGCAATGCGCGTTACAACTATTTTTACAAAGGTTGTCTAAAATTTGCACGCGACAATCTCGAAAGGTAATATGGGTATGGTCAATACATTGTTCCTGCCACTGAAGCTGTCGAACCTACTTTCGTTGCTTTTCTTTTGCACCAGGAAACATACCTCCATGGCCTCTTTTCTCATTCTTGCAAAGTTCTCTAAAGAACAGTGAATTTAAAGCCACCCACAATACCTTTCGGGATTGTCGCCTGCACTTTACTGAGAATGTTTCTTGAAATAGCAGTATTCGATCCTTTTCAAACCTTGGTTGTTTAATTTCATGAATAATTTCTGTTTGCTTCTTCCTTTGTTTTTTATTGTAGAATTCACCGCGACAAGTCGTTTCATTGCGATGTATGCAACGTTTGTCTGGACAAACGACTGCAGGGAAAGCACAAGTGCCGACCAGACTCGGGGCATGATGAATGCTGTATATGCCTGGAGGTAGATTGAAAAGTTTTAACGTTACAAACGTTCATTTCAATTCGCGAGATCAAACATATGGGTCATGCGCAGATTACTATCTAGGTCGATCTAACAAAGCTGTTTTAACCATAGCACGTACAATGAAGGGGGGGGGGTGCCACCTCCCCTGAGGTTTTTCTGAGTCTTTTCCTAGAGGGTTAAACATCAGCACCTGACGTTTTCGGTAGCTGTTCGTTTGTTCGTTTATCCCCCGCACGCATTTTGAGTCATGGTCAGTTTCTATGGTTACGAGATATGACGTCATAAGTAGCAGGTGGTCAAGCCATTTTTGAGTGAAAATACATGTTTTTCAATTTCTTTCAACAATAAAAGTGAATCTTGTAGCTAAAATTGTGCAAAGTGCTTATTTATGTGTTATTTTTCATTTGAAGCACAAACAAAAACCATTTCTCGCGGTTTTAACCTAATTTCTAATTCTTGGTAAAATCCAAGATGGCAACCATCGTTGGTGACGTCACAGGCCTCCAGCTGCGCCAACACCCATAAAATATACCTCATTTTTTTGAGAAAATCAAAGGCTTTCCACTGAAGGCAAAATCGTTTCGAAATACTGTCAGATATTAAAAACTTTAGGAGAAAGGGTGGGGGGATCCATTCTTCCCCTTGTTCCTCGATGGTGGTATGAATTTGCGTGTACGTCCGAGGGTTAATGTGGTAACGATAGCTAATTCGAGTCATTGTGTATATGAGGAACACTTTTAGTTTCAAGTATTGATTTAAGGATCTAAGAAAACTGTATTTTATATATTTAAATTTTTCCTGCCCGAATTAGCGGGTAAACACTCGTTCCGCTTTTTATAGTTCCGTGTGCTTAGACAATGATTTGTTTCTTTTTATGCAAGGATGCTTTCAGTGGTTGTCAGATCCTCCCTTGCTCCCATAAAGTGCACAAGGACTGTGCTATAGCCATGATACAGAACGGAATGTAAGTATGACATTGTTAATTATTTCCATAGTCTCAACTAAGAGCATGCTAAGTTTTACTTAACCAAAAATGCGTTTGTGAAGGCCTAAGTAAAATCTCGATCAAGTAAAGTTTTTTGCATCTCATTAAAGTCGGAAAGTTGAAACGATTCAAGAAAGTTTAAGACTAGGCAAACTTGCGGTTTCTTGACCTTTGAGAAATGCGAAGTATGTCAATCAATCTTAATTATGTTTCGTGGGAAAGTAGGCTTAAGTAAGCCTGAAGTAAAAAAGATAGGTTGTGTGTGAAGCTTTCTTTTACTTGAAGAATTTAAAATTTACTTTTCATGAAATATTTCTAAGCTTATTTAGGACTATAAATAAAAGTGGAGCTCTACGCAAAAATTAAACACGCGTCCGCGAAGCACCACGGGTAAGTCAAGAATAAGGAATTTTGGTAGCTTATCGATGCGAGAACTTTTGGTCCGTGATGTCTGAGCACACCTGCCCACAAGTTAAAAATTCTAGTTGGGGGGGGGGTTGGGGGGGGGTAAGGAGAATGGAGGAAAATTTGAAAAAAATTGAGCTCAGAAGACGTGAGTTTCAAGGTAACTTTCCGTGCCAGTAAATCCCATGGCCAGCGTCGCATTTGTCAACTAGCGTTTTTCTTGACAGACCATGCTCGGTTTTAAAAGAAAAAAGAAAATTCAAACCATTTAGCAATCAAGACGGTGACATTAACGGGCGAGGAGCTATCCAAAATAACAACGGCAAACACGGTACTTGGAATCATGGCAATCATTAAAAGCCATTTACAAAAAAAGAGAGTAACATTAACGGGTGAAGATTTATCCAAGATAATCACCAGCTAACATCTTGGGGTCGTGGCAGCCAATATTTGGTTACTCTTAAATAAGTTTATGCGTAAAATTGATGCGCCAGCTGCAAAATTGGTTATGTTATGATATTTTTGTGGTCGTTTCATTGTTGCTGTTTTGGCTAAGGAGTTCGTTGCTTTGATTCTTTGATCCTAAAAGTGCTTTTAACTTCCATGAAAAAGCATCTCTCATGCTGCTGATGAGGTCTACTAAGAGATTTCAAAAGCTCAGGGAAAGGGAAAAGTGACACTACGTCGAATGATTTTTTCACTATCGTTGGTCGGTTGTTTCTTTTGAAAGATTAACCCTTGTACAAAAGTTAGCTCCACCCCTCGGAACGTTTCCAGGCATTAGTTTATACAAAAGCTAAGGGTAGAAATTTCACAACGTCTATGGCTAAGGAGGAAAATTTGTAATTATAATAATCATAAGGTCTTTCAAACACACGCTCTATTCCCATTGTATTTTTTCCACACTGCTGCAACCAATCCTTTTCCCCAGCACCCAAACAGTGCCCCTGTCGCTGCCGTGAAATTTGCACCTTGTTTTTCCTCTTTCATCGCTTCTTCTCCAAATCCATCCACTACCAGCGTTTCTTTCTATTGTTTCTTTCCATATTGCCTAGTCCCTGTACGGCGTCTTTTCAGGCCCTCTCGGTCAATGCATTTCGGTGACGTATCCGAGACGAGCAGCCGGGAGACGCCTAGACAATCTCGGAGTGCGCATGCGTGAGCATTTTTGAAGAGTTCACACGGTCAACTGAAATAATCTATAAATAACTTTGCGCGTGAATACCCTTCGCTAAAGATCGGCGCTATTGACACTATTACAACAGTAACTAACCTAGTTCGTGTTATAAAAGAACAAAACGGAAAGAATACTACTGTATAACGAGCAATTAGTATATACACACTCAGTGATCTTGGTGATTTAAGCAATCTGATTGGTTCGGTATCTCGGACTATTCAACAATATTCACCTCCTAGCGAGTGGATAATGTTTGAGCTCGGTGTTTTTCCCGTTTTTTTTAGAGAACGATCTTTTAAAAGTCGACAAAATCCTAGGGCTGACTTTTTTTAAGGCAAGAAAAGACTTGGAAGGATTCAATACGGCGTTTTTCAATTTACTGTAGCAGGAGTTTTGTGCTCGATGGATTGTTTACAACTCCCGTGTATTCGCGTAGAAGAAGCCGTTTCGTGAACTCAGCGTTTTCTAAGAAGAAAATTTTGGCTCAAAAATCGAAGTTTATTTATGACAAACAAATTTAAAAGGAAATGTTTGCAGAAATTCTACATTTCAAGTAAACAGGAAAAAGAATGATACAGGAAGACGACCTCTTACCTCGAGCAACCGAGCCGCCATTTTTGTCAGCACTTCATGCGAAGAACGACACAACATGCCCTTTTGGCTATAAACTTGGCGAGTCAACAGAAAACAACACAGCTCTACTTTTTTTCTCAGGTAAGGAAACAGTTCAAACTTTTAGCGATTCCATTGAAGCCATTACGCTGTTGTTTGCGAAATGAGTAAACTTGTGAATTGCCATGTTTGAAAATTCTGCCAAGATCTATTTTTAAACTTACGCGTGATTTGATCTGTCAATCAAATCCTACTTTTGAATGGTTTCCTTTCTGATTTTGTTGAGATCACTTCGTGTGTATATACTAAAACAATTATTCTTCTCAATCTCGGTGAATAGTGGCTTTGGGAATATTTACCTCGCCGCTTTCGCGGCTCGGTAAATATTTTGCCACTATTCACCTCGATTTCAAAGAATAATTGTTAAGTAATTTCTCTTTTAGTCCATCTTCAAATGAACCATTCATAAGATAGTCTTTATTGATAAAAAGATTTGAAACAGTGTGTTGACATTCTACCAAATTTAGAGACCAAATTCAACAGCCTGTCCGATTAGTTTGATAAGCTTCCAAATCCAAAAATTAAATTACATAAAGTATTTCGAAGTGAAATGATAACGAGAAATTTATAGGAGCAAGCGAAAATAGAGAAATGAAAGATAGCTTGTCATATCCAAGAATAAATATAAACTTATTTCTTTAGCTTACCTTCCGATTCTTGATCAAATAATTTTTTTGCGACGCTGTTTTGCTTAGCCTACAAATAGTTTTTGACATGAAATAAAGTTCAAATTAGTTTAATGATACAAATGAAAAAGAAAGGCCAAGGGACTTTCAACAATGAAAACGTGCATAGAATAAAAATGCTCGTTTCTCTGTACTCTCCATGGCTGCTGGACATCTTTCATCAGCGCGGAAAAGTTATTGACAGCTCGCCTGCGTCCCAAAGCTCCGCCCCAAGTGAGAAAAAATGTCTCACTTTTCCGAGTTTGTCTAGGCCTCAAAAACTTTCTCGGACCACGTGACCCGAAACGCATCGGCCTCGCATGATAATGAGGCCTAGGGACTAGGCAACTTTCCATATACAGTAAATTTAATAAATGAATAAAGTTGCCGTTGTTCCAACTCACTGTAATCTTTTGTTCAATTCAGCCGCACATGTCCAATATGTCGCCATCCGCTGTTCCAGCAACCAGAGGGCCCTGATCAATAGTAGGCCAAATGAAATTTAACAAGTACATGATGCAACTTTACAAGAACTATGGCTTTATCTGTTAATAGCTATTTAGTATTCCATAGCTATAGATAGTTTTTGTGTTTTGTCCATGTGTGTCATAATTATATTATAGGGAACCGTAGCCTCCCACGCAGGCGTTTTTAGGGGAGCTTGTATTTCTTCCCTCCCCACAAACGGGGAGGGACGAAATACGATCTCCCCTAAAAACGCGTGGGAGGCTAAGGGAACACACGCTCTTGTTTGTAAACTGCAAATGGAAATTAAATAAGAGATGAAATTTTACCTGTCTAGTTTTATTCTTGAATCTGCTGTGGTGCGAAGTGAAATGGAAGTTGTTTTGCGATGCGAAGACCATGTTCAAGTCGACGCTAACGCGTAGGCTGCTTGCAGTCCACCTAGATCCTAAATCCGTCTAGTTCTTATCTCAGCCAGCGCGATTATTGCAAAGAAAAACAGAGACTGTTGGCAGTCTACGCTAACCGTTGTTGATTTCACAATGCTTTATGTGGTCACGCGCCGGTTGTTATCAACTTATTATTATCGTCTCGCGTTTCATCGTTGGTTGTTAATTTTTTTAACTATTTGAATTAACAGTAATAAAAAAATGTCTCTTTTCTCTTTGTACTCTCTCTCGAATTGTCAATAAATTAATAACCAACAACGAAACGCGAGTCGATAATAGCAAACGGCGCATGACACTATCAGTGAAATGAGAGCCAAACCACATATAGTCTCCTACACAGCCGTCCAAAAACGGCTGTGTGGCAGACTAAACCACATAAAGCATTGTGAAATCAACAACGGTTAAAGCGTCGACTTGAACATAGTTTTCGCATCGTAAAACAACTTCCATTTCACTTCGCACCACAGCAGATTCAAGAATAGAACAAAACAGGTAAGATTCTCTCTCTTATTTAATTTCCATTTGCAGTTTACAAATAAGAGCGTGGGTTCCCTACGATTATGTTAAGAAGCCATGAGAAGACACACAGGGCTTGCACTGTAAGTATCCCGGAGAGCTCCATACAATTCCTTATAATTTTGTTATAAGGAATTGTATGGAGCTTTCCAGGAGACTTTTCTTCATTAGCTTAGGCGCGGCGGATTTTGTCACGTATGATCAGCGCGAGGTGTTTTTCCCGACACCCTTCTGTCAGGAAAATGTCATCATATGAAAGCAAACCGGACACGATCGCGTCGGCAGGCCGAAGCCGGCAAAAATAAAAGGCTTTTCTTCTTCCATTTCAGAGGTCAGTTTTGTTTCGTTCTGGTGAAAATAAATCAGGTTTTTAGGTTGTGGGTAATAAAATATTGTCTTATTCAGTTCTCAAGGACCTTTAGAAAACGAGATAAACGAAATAATTGACTAGAGAACGAAGCGTGAAAACGCTTTTTTGGACGAAAATATTTTTTAATTTCAGCAGCAATTTTGCGAAATCGCGAAGCGCAATATATTCAGTTTCTTCCAAAGCCGTCATGATTAAGCAGTGCAATGCCATCACAACTAAAAATGAATTTAGTTTGTATCGCAAAAGCCGCGAAAATAGAGATGA